TATTTAGGTGCAGGAGCTCCACAATACTTTTGAACTAATATTCTATAAGAGGAACAGGAGCTCAAGCAGTAGAACATTTGAGGTGCCGGTACTCACCTCCGGTGAGCTCCTGCCCAAGTCAAGCACTGAACTGTCCTACATGCTGCTGATAAACAGATAACCCCCATTACAGATGAGCACATTATCATGTTTGGCCAAAGTCAAATTGCTCATTGAGAACTCAAAATATACTTTTTAAAATGGGGGGAAAACATACCACAATGTTAAGTGACCCAGCAATGGAAACAGTACAGAACGCAAGCAAAGTCACAGAGCATACATATGTGGTGCATTACCTCTCATTTTCCTTGAGCCAGTTGGTGGGGACAGAGTCGAAAATGTTTCCTTCAGAAATGTCCCTGCCCCATAGCCAGCTTAACCACTCTGGTCCACAGAGAGGTTAAATATAGAGCAACAGTCCCTCACAGCCATACTAATGCTTGACCCTATGTCAAAAGCAGGCTTGTTGGGCCTTTTCTACAGGGCTTTTGCGGTTATTCTGATTCCGAAGTACGTAAGCTAATGTTGTTTTTAGCTGGGTCACGTGTGCATTAGTTCCAGTGTAATTCCCTTGTGTATGATTCCATGCACATGTACTGTAGGCTACTATTAGAAGACAACACAGGGGAGCATCGTGCCTGCCTGTTCTATATATGGTACACTGGATTTAAATGTTCTTTTTATTCGTCCTAATGCTTTCCTGTTGTTGTTGTTATTGTGTTTTCCCTAGTACAGCCTAGTACGCCTGTGGAGCATTGTGGAACATGGCTGAGCCTGTGGATGTGAACTCCTTTCTGCTTTGATACACCACAGCCCATTAACTCTGCATGGGAGATTACATCGCTTACCCATCTGCCAACCTGCACACAGATGTATACATGAATAGCTATTGTCTCAGCGTCCACATAAACCAGATGCCTGACAGGGAATAATTTGGCTGCTGGTCTTTGTTCTAAGGGCTGCCAACAGAGATTGGGCCAATTGCTCCAAGGGAAAATGCACCATTAGAAAACCATAATGCATCAACTTGGCTAAACACCTTTCCTTTTTTTCTTTTTTTATAAAATGGTGTGGGTTGCCGCTGGGCGTCATTCAGCGGACCTTGAGCGTTGGGCTATTTATGGATCCCCCGGGTGTATATATAGACCAGCACGCTTGTCAGGTCATCTAGGTCATGTATGCTATTGTCAACATCCTGTAAATTGGAGGCACATTGCTAAATGTGATTAAGACTGCTCTCTGGATAATCCTGGCTGTCCTATTACATGTACAACCATTTTGAGATGGTTATTATAGATCCACATGGGATGGAATTATTAAAGGCCCAGTGCAGTCAAAAACGTGATTTTCCTGTGTTTTATCTACATTTCCACACTATGAGGTTGGAATAATACTGTGAAATTGTGAAAATTATGATAATGCAATTTTAGAGGTTTCTAGAGCTGTTTAAAAAGAACCCCTGAAATGTCAGCCTGTTTTGGTGGGATGGAGCTTTGGCCTGCCTGCTGACATCACCAGGCGGTAAATTATTTAACATACCAATAAGAAAGAGAATTCCAAACCTCTCTGCCAATAACAGCTAGTTTTCAGTTTTCCACTCTCCACTCAGACCACTCCCAGACAGTCCTAGCAAAATTCTTGCTTGAGAAATTGCTCTTTGCTAAGAAGCTATTTTATATTTATTTTATACAATTTTATTAGAAAACCATAAAAGTAAGGTACGTACAGGGTATTAAACCTGGGATTGCTTTAACAATACATCAACCTCGATGTGGTTAAGCCTCCTAAAAAGCATTGTGAATGAACAGTAGGCTTCTCTTTTCAATAGATTTATTACAATGTGAAATGTAATCAGTGGAATGATATGGTGCGAAGAATAGATTCAATTTGTCATCCTGCATTTTAATTACAAGGTTTAAAATCAACATTAAACAGGAAAAACCTACTGATTCTTACAAATCATTACATATCAATATTTAAAATAGCTAAAATAGCTTCATGCTAAAATAAATAAATAACAAGTAAATGTAACATCCCTATATGCATAGCAGTATGACGCAATCTTAATCAATGATAACATTGTAATTGCGAGAAAGTATTGTGTGTGTCACAAAATATGACAGATACTATAACTAAAACTCAACAAAATGTGTCATACCAAAAGTCTACTACTAGGGTGGTTCTTGAATTGCGGTGGCATTTAAAACCATGGAAAACACTTTAAAATGACAAATAGTTACATTTCAAACATGTTTTAGTCAAGGATAAAATATAATACTAGACATTTATACTGCCTTACGTTTATGCATTGTTTAAAGTATTTAGGGTAAGCAAATTGCCTTGTCCCAGTTGTGACCTAGTAGAGTTGTAGTCAGAGTCATATATTAAGAGAGTTCAGCCAGGTTTTTAGAACGGACACCATGTTGGTTTCAAGTTTTATTAGTCGTATGTACGGGATACGCATGTTATACATAATATACATCGTCCAACAAAATACTTGTTAGTGCCTTTATTCACAATATTTTGGTGATGTAACAATACGAGAGTGTCTCCAACAATTCCCTATGAAATGACCCGCCCCTCATGACAAAGTACTACTCAATTACTACACAAAACGTATTTGTGCAGTAGTGACTATGTAGAGACTTGTAGGGAGTGTGTAGTGAATGTGTAGTTTATGCACTACTCAAGACACACAAGTAGAGTTTTGTAGTATTCAGTAGGAAAAAAGTAGTGTTTCCAGTAGTAATCAAATAGAGTTTTTACTACTTGATGTTGGTAGTAAATAAGTATCACAACACTACAGCCAGACTACACCGCTTTTTCGCAACCACCAAAGAAGACAAAACAGGAAGTCGTAGCTACTGTTTTTGACAATCCCGAATGTAATCATCTTCAATCCTTTGTCATCCTGTCTTTCATAGCCCTTATGCTGGCACCATCTTTTATATTTTATGAAAACTTTCATGCCATTGTTTAGCCATTTATATAACTTTTTACTACATCAAAAATATTGCTAGCCAAAACGGTCTTAGCCGTTAGCCGTTGTCATAGAGATGCATTGAGTTTAGCCTAGCTGTTTGCTAGCCACATTGAAATGTAGCTATGTAGCCTCTGTTTTCGTCATGCTAGTTAATCAGTATGTGTGTTTGTATGCAAATGTCTTTATTTTCTAAAAGGTTACGTGGTGGAGAAATGTGGCTGCAACAAAAAAGAGGATCTGAAGATAGTTAAGTCAAAGCTGAATGAAGACAAGGCCTCAAATGGATTAACAAAAAAGTGTAAATGTGTAATTTAATATGTAATTAATGTAATATAAATAAAGAATGTACATATAATTGTTTGATGATATAACTACAGTTAGAAACTTGAGGAAATAACATGTGCACTAGTCTAGTAGTGAAACAAGATCTCAATAGTGATTTTGAATAGGCAAACAGTAATAAATGTTTTCAAAAGGGTTTATGTAGGAAATGAAAAAGGATCCGGAGCAATTCAGTAGTGATCAGTAGTGACACAACACTACACACACAGATGGCAGTAGTAATTCAATAGGGATTGAGTAGGCATGCAGCAGTAATGTACTAGATACCCAAAAGCTTAGTAGTTACACAGTAGTCATTAAGGGAGATTTATTGTAGTGATTTAAGTAGGAAATATTTAGTGTTCACCAGTAGTGAAACGTTCCAATTTGTCACTCATTACTACTTAAATTACTACATAAATCACTACTGGTTTACTACACATCTCAATAGCAATCAAGTAGTAAAGCCAGTAGGTTTTGTGTGGTAATTCAGTAGTACTTTTTCATGAGGGGGCTGTAAACAAGTAAAACAGAGCAGTACATTTTACAGACGTTTTTAATGATTAGCATTCAGGATAATGTGTATCCAAGTCTTTACTGTGTTGTAGTGTCAACAAATTGCATATCTGCTTTCACTGGACATCTTCATAGGTTTTAAAAATGATCAGAAATAAACATTACAATGTGGAAGCGTCGATGATCACTTAGCAATGGTTATGGAGGAAAAAGTGGCGCTCTCAGAACGTTCAGACAGAAATCACATTGGCCAAACTCTCTCTATATAAACTGTATGGCTCTGGTTGTTGTGACATGTTTTGGGGGATTTAGATATATCTATTATTTTGAATTCTAGAAAGTAAACAAATGTATTAAACATACTGTATAGATCTATGAAAACAAAGTAGGCTATTAAAATACACATTTTTTTTACTAATATAATGTGTCCCTCAGTTTTATGTCATTGGTGTTACCGCCTCGAAAATCATTCATTACGTAAGGGATAATCAACGAGAGGCATGCGTTCTATGCAAAATAATGAACGACTTGGAAGGTGTGTTCAACGACGCGCTAGCGGATCCCTCCAATGAGCATTCCCTCCAGTGGCAAACTGTTAACGGGGTAGTGGTCTATTTTAAATAAAATTACAAGCTAATCATACCCTTTTAGTATATCATACATTTGAGGATTCCATTGATACTTTGGTGTGTCTAAATCCAAAGTGTCACTTGGGGTTACTCTATTTAAATGAAGGGAAATTACATTGTGAGCAGAATTATTAATCATATCACTTTAGTAAGTGATTTTTAAAGGGTTAATGAACTTAGATTTTAGTATATGTGGCCTCCATTTCAGAAAATCCTAGTTTACCTAAAATGTATCATAGGTGTTTTCGTCTTTGGTGTTACTACTCCTACTGGTGGTACAAAGTTATCATAATGGTGAAAATGATTTAAAGTAATTAAGCTGCCATTAGTTGATTTAGACTGGGAAGATGTACCCAAATACATTTACTGTAAATAAAAAAAACTAGGAAAGTTAAGTACATTTTTTCCCAAATGCACAAATACCACCGCAACCCAAGAACTACCCACTAGGTAAATACTATGCACAGTACTGAATAAACATTCTCACTATATCATTGCTCTACTGTTATGGCCCTGTCCATAAGGGCACAGTCAGAGACATATGCAGGCAGTACCCTCACAGTGAGATCCTCAGGGGCTCTCTCTCCTGGTTGGTTTTGCTCGGCGGTTTGGGGTTCTGGTAGGACAGCCTCACAAACACAACGATTAGAATGATTCCTGGGATAAATAAGAAAGATAAAATTAGGCCCACCATACTAAAATTTCCCATGACTAACTCAAATGTAAGATCCTGAAAAAGATCCTAAGTGAACACAGATCATCATGACACAAAATTACACAAAGGACCATGTTGCTTACACTTGAGGCTCGGTTTCTGTACAAGCACTTTGTGACAACTGCTAATGTAAAATGGGCTTTATAAATACATTTGATTGATTGATTGATTGACTTCGCTGTTTTCACTTGGTATCTTAAAGGTGTTCAGTCTACAGTCCAACAGCAGCTACTCTTACCTATGACCCCAAGGGTTCCCAGAAGGATGCCAACGGTGGACTGGATGGTTGGCATGCCTTGCAGCTGCTTAGCGGCGGTCCTGCAGTTTCCTCTCACATTGCACGGGCACACCGTCACTGTGATTTAAGACACAGTCAACACTACTCACACAGTACAGGGACATATTCAGCTCTCATAAGCACATTACAGATACCCTGAGCAGGTCACGATGACAGGGAGAGAACATCTCCATGCCCCTGCGGCCTCAGGGTTTTACTACGGTAAATCAGTTCAGTGTGCTGTAGAGGGGGGATCACCAGGCAGACTGGGCTGAGACCAGGCTGCGACAGGTGGAGAGGGTGCACCTGCGGCCCATCCTGCCCTGAGACTGAGTCAGTCTGAACACAATGTCTCAGGATGACCAGTACTCTATTCCAACATGCTGCCATACATCAGGCATATAGGGCAACAAATCTACAGGGATCTATGAGATGTCCTTTTCTATTTACAGAGCAGATGCTGTCAACCAGATTGAGTTTTGGAGATATTCTGAGGGGTGGGAGGGCCAGGAGAAAACACATGAACACAGACCAAGCATATGTCCAACCCACTGCTATTTGTTTTCAGAGAAAGGACAGACATTACAGAGTAATTACAGCTCCAACATCCCAGTGTGAAAGGAAAGCCCAGAAGTGACATTGATTGTAAACAATGCATGTTTCTTTTGATAGTTCAATTGTCAATCGACATGACTGTAATAACAGCACAGCTACCAGAGCGAACAATGGTGGTGCTGACAGAAATGTATATTCTACTGAAAGGAATGGACGACAAATAACGGCCATCTATTATAGTGACAACATCACAGTTCCAGTTGTAATACATGAGAAATGACACATGTCACATTTTGCAAACATGTCTGCGTAGAGCAAAATATTCTGCTTCAACACATATCAATGTGTGTCACCTGGCAGGTTGATGAAGGTGCTCCTGGGAGGAGAGCTGCTGTCAGAGATGGTGAAGGGGACCGTGTAGACCTCAGGAGACAGGTACGGGATGTTCAGGGACAGGTTGGTATGGGTGTCTGGGGAAAGACAGATATTACATTGGTAGTCTATAGTAAACTTTTATGACAAAAGTTTATTGGGCTCCATAACTTTGAAAGGTTCTGTACGTATTCTTGGTAAAATTACATAATTGTTCACATTTCATAGAATCATACTCTATACAAAAGTATGTGGACACCCCTTCAAATTAGTGGATTCTGCTATTTCAGCCACACCCATTGCTGATCGGTGCATAAAATTGAGCACACAGCCATGCAATCTCCATAGACAAACATTGACAGTAGAATGGCCTTACTGAAGAGCTCAGTGACTTTCAACGTGGCACCGTCATAGGATGCCACCTTTCCAACAAGTCAGTTAATCAAATTTCTGCCCTGCTAGACCTGCCCCGGTCAACTGTAAGTGCTGTTATTGTGAAGTGGAAACGTCTAGGATCAACAACGGCTCAGCCGCGAAGTGGTAGGCCACACAAGGTCACAGAACGGGACCGCCAAGTGCTGAAGCGCATAGCGCGTAAAATTCAGCTGTCCTCTGTAGAGGGGGGATCACCAGGCAGACTGGGCTGAGACCAGGCTATGACAGGTGGAGAGGGTGCACCTGCGGCCCATCCTGCCCTGAGACTGAGTCAGTCTGAACACAATGTCTCAGGATGACCAATACTCTATTCTAACATGCTGCCATACATCAGGCATATAGGGCAACAAATCTACAGGGATCTATGAGATGTCCTTTTCTATTTACAGAGCAGATGCTGTCAACCAGATTGAGTTTTGGAGATATTCTGAGGGGTGGGAGGGCCAGGAGAAAACACATGAACACACACCCAGCATATGCCAAACCAGGTCCTATTTGTTTCAGAGAAAGGACAGACATTACAGAGTAATTACAGCTCCAACATCCCAGTGTGAAAGGAAAACCCAGAAGTGACATTGATTGTAAACAATGCATGTTTCTTTTGATAGTTCAATTGCCCATCGACATGACTGTAATAACAGCACAGCTACCAGAGCGAACAATGGTGGTGCTGACAGAAATGTATATTCTACTGAAAGGAATGGACGACAAATAATGTCCATCTATTATTGTGTCCTCGGTTGCAACTCTCACTACCGAGTTCCAAACTGCCTCTGGAAGCAACGTCAGCACAAGAACTGTTCATCGGGAGCTTCATGAAATGGGTTTCCATGGCCGAACAGCCGCACACAAGCCTAAGATCACCATGCGCAATGCCAAGCGTCAGTGGGAATAGTGTAAAACTCGGCAATTCTGGAACAGTGGAAACGCGTTCTCTGGAGTGATTAATCATACTTCACATTCTGACAGTCCAATGGACAAATCTGGGTTTGGCGGATGCCAGGAGAACGCTACCTGCCCCAATGCATAGTGCCAACTGTACAGTTTGGGGAAGGCCCTTTACTGTTTCAGCATGACAATGCCCCCGTGCACAAAGCGAGGTCCATACAGAAATCGTTTGTTGAGATCGGTGTGGAAGAACTTGACTGGCCTGCACAGAGCCCTGACCTCAACCCCATTGAACACCTTTGGGATGAATTGGAACGCCGACTGCGAGCCAGGCCTAATCGCATAACATCAGTGCTCGACCTCACTAATGCTCTTGTGGCTGAATGGAAGCAAGTCCCCGCAGCAATGTTCCAACATCTAGTGGAAAGCCTCCCAAGAAGACTGGATGCTGTTATAACAGCAAAGGGGGGACCAACTCCATTTTAATGCCCATGATTTTGGAATGAGATGTTCTTTTAAGACCAATTTGATTGACGGTACACAGAAGTATTTTGTCCATTTTGGCTAGCGTCTAACAGCAAAGTAAACATCAGAGGGAAATTCCAAAAGCTCCAAAGCCGTGCGAGAACGAAAAACATTACCTCAAATATATTTTTAAACATCTGCTTGTCCTCAGTAAAGAGTCTGGTATACAGGCCAATTCAGATAAATAACCGTGGCTGATTGATTAACTAGGTTTTGGTGAACACGAGTAAAATACTGGCATGATCAATAGCCCACATAAATGTTATTCTACATTGCAAAGACCTAGGTTTTGTTTATCATACACATTCTGTATGTGTGAGGGACCTGTCTGGTAGACCCTCTGTGACTCAAAACAAACACACTGGCCAATGGGTGACGAAGGTTGGAAGGGGGGGGGGGGGGGGGGGTTCTAGTGCAAATGCACTGATACTTTATCTAATCTATGAACGAATCCAAAATACAAGCTCCCGTCTCGTAAACAGAGGGTTTACTATCAGACTGTTAGCTGTTATCTGGGGGTCCAAAAGCCCCTGGCTGGCCTCAGACACTGGTCCCCTTCATGTGCCTCTGTTCTGAGACTGTGACGCACCTCTGGACCAACACAAAGAACATTCTTATCTTCTTCTATCTTCTACTATTATCACTACAGGTCCTCAGGTGTGACATTTATTACATATTACACAGCCTTACACAGTTTGACTTGTCATTATGTACCGTGTGTAATGTCAGATGTACAGTGCATTTGGAAAGTAATCCTTCTACCCCCCCCCCCCTTCCCCCCCCCAAAAAAAATAATAATTGTAAAGTGGTTATCCCACTGGCTATAGGGTGAATGCACCAATTTGTAAGTCGCTCTGGATAAGAGCGTCTGCTAAATGACTAAAATGTAAAATGTAAATGTAAAATGAAAGTATTCAGACCCCTTCCCTTTTTCCACATTTTGTTACATTACAGCCTTATTCTAAAATGGATTACATTGTGTTTTCTTCTTCTCATCAATCCACACACAATACCCCATTATTGCAAAGCGAAAACTGGTTTTTAGAAATGTTTGCAAATGTATTAAAAATAAAAAAACATAAATAGTATTCAGACCCTTTGCTATGAGACTCGAAATTGAGCTCCAGTGTATCCTGTTTCCATTGATCATCCTTGAGATGTTTCTACAACTTGATTGGAGTCCACCTGTGGTAAATTCAATTGATTGGACATGATTTGGAAAGGCACACACCTGTCTATATAAGGTCCCACAGTTGACAGTGCATGTCAGAGCAAAAACCAAAAGGTCAAAGGAATTGTCCGTAGAGCTCTGAGACAGGATTGTGTTGAGGCATAGATCTGGGGAAGTGTACCAAAAATATTCTGCAGCGTTGAAGGTCCCCAAGAACACAGTGGCCTCCATCATTCTTAAATGGAAGAAGTTTGGAACCATCAAGACTCTTCCTAGAGCTGGCACCCAGCCAAACTGAGCAATCGGCAGAGAAGGGCCTTGGTCAGGGAGGTGACCAAGAACCCGATGGTCACTCTGACAGAGCTCCAGAGTTCCTCTGTGGAGATGGGAGAACCTTACAGAAGGACAACCATCTCTGCAGCACTCCACCAATCAGGCCTTTATGGTAAAGTGGCCAGACGGAAGCCACTCCTCAGTAAAAGGCACTTGACAGTCCGCTTGGAGTTTACCAAAAGACACCTAAAGGACTCTCAGACCATGTCAAACAAGATTCTCTGGTCTGATGAAACCAAGATTGAACTCTTTGGCCTGAATGTCAAGCGTCACATCTGGAGGAAACCTGGCACCATGTTTTTCAGCGGCAGGGAAAGTGAGACTAGTCAGGATCGAGGAAAATATGAACGGAGCAAAGTACAGAGAGATCCTTGATGAAAACCTGCTCCAGAGCACTCAGGACCTCAGACTGGGGCGAAGGTTCACCTTCCAACACAACAACGACCCTAAGCACACAGCCAAGACAACACAGGCGTGGCTTCGGGACAAGTCCCTGAATGTCCTTGAGTGGCCCAGCCAGAGCCCGGACATGAACCTGATCGAACATCTCTGGAGAGACCTGAAAATAGCTGTGCAGCGACGCTCCCCATTCAGCCTGACAGAGCTTGAGAGGATCTGCAGAGAAGAATGGGTGAAACTCCCCAAATACAGGTGTGCCAAGCTTGTAGCGTCATACCCAAGAAGACTCGAGGCTGTAATCGCTGCCAAAGGTGCTTCAACAAAGTACTGAGTAAAGGGTCTGAATACTTATGTAAATGTGATATTTAAGTTATTAATACATTTGCAAACATTTCTAAAAACCTGTTTTTGCTTTGTCATTATGGGGTATTTTGTGTAGATTGATGAGGGGGAAAAAACTATTCATCCATTTTAGAATAAGGCTGTAACGTAACAAAATGTGGAAAAAGTAAAGGGGTCTGAATACTTTCCGAATGCACTGTATATCATCTCGTGAGGTAAGGCTGCAGCCGGCAGGCTTCAGTGCCATAAATAGTAGAGGAGCCCTTGGTCTTCCGCATCCTCAATGGTTTTTATTGTGACTTTTCTTTGATGTCATAATTGACAGGAATAGTGTATGTGAGAGTTTTTTTTAACCTGGTTTTATCACGGCCCAGGAATAATGGGAAATATAGAGGTAAATCATTGCTGTATCTATTTATGATTCATTAGAATTGATTGACTGTCTGTTCAGTGGTGGACAGGAACAGTGGAATCTACTGGTAAACCTCTCAGGACAATCACGTCACAGCATACTCTGTGAGCTTCTCAAAGACAGAGGCTGCGTCACACCTCCGTCACTCTCTCCAGCCTCCCCAGTTGTCAGGGAGGAGGGCGAAGAGCCATAAAGGTGAGGTAAATAGGTGCGCCATGGCACGTCTGCAGCAGGTGTTAGTAGGGACAAGTCTTGCAGCTGCTGGGTGCTGCTGGGAAAAATACACTTTTAGCCTCTTAGCCTTTCAGCCCAGCGGGTCCCAGCTGTGACATCACACAAATTAAAGGGGAAATATAATTACAGCCGGCCTCCGCCTCTTCCATTAATAATGCATCAGAGAGAAAGGGTGAGAGAAAAAAACGAAAGAGAAAAGGTTGACACAGTGAATCAGAAGAGAGGCTGTGTCAGCACAGCCAAGTCGACAAGTCTGATTACTGTATGTCAGCCTGACACATTACAGACAGGTACAGCGACAGGAAGAGGCAATTAGGCGTATTACTGACACTGCCAAGTCAGACAGCCTCAGAAGAAAGGATGAGGGCAATTTACTTCCACTGCCAGTCAGTGTCTCAGTTCCCACTCACTCTAATCCTCTCTACACGTCTCTTCTGGATCTACAAGCGGCCTGAATGGATCCCTGAATTACCTCCTACTCACCATTCATCACATTGTAGCAAAACACCCTGGATTGTTCTCTTTCCAATGTTATTACAGGTACACAGACACGGGTAGCCACAGTGACAGCGTCAGGTCTAACGTCACCATGATGACTCAAATATAATAAGTGGTCTAATTTGTCACTGTAATTTAGCTGTCTGGCAGTGGTTCTTACACAGACATGACTCAACCAATCCAACACCTCGATCTGGATTGATCCTCCAGAGAGGTTAATGTTTCCTGGGTCCTACTTCCTACAGTATGGTGCTAGCCTACAATGTCATAGCGTTGGGTCACCCTGTCCCGACTACAGTCACTACACCTATAGTATTGTCATGCTGGATTGGTTACTAAAATATCTGATGGGCCAAGAGGTTGTTTTAAGCCTGTGTTGATTTTTCTGTTTGTCTGAAAGAAAAAAAAACTGAGTTAGGTTATCTGGATGATGAGGCAGACAGTCGCACCATTGATGGGGGTGAGTTTCCAGTTGCCGCGCACAGTGGCGTCACTGCGCAGGGAGAAGTTGAGCCTGCCACCGTGCTGGGGACCATCACTGTCCCGGGATGCCAGCACCAAGGCCTGGTCCTCCCAGCGAGGTGTACACAGGTACTTCCAGGAGTAGTCCCCCACCAACACAGGACTGTTGTCATTCACATCCAGGATATGTACCGTTACCAGGGTGGAGGCTGACAGAGAAGAGTTCCCTTGGGGGCAAATAGTTCAGTTTTAATAAACATTAGTACCCATTGAATCACTGGTAAACAATAGTCCTCGTATTGGGTGCTGCTGGCCTTGACAAGCACAGAGAGGGACATTAGAAACCACAACCTCTCTGAACTACAAAGCAGATTTTAAAATGTTTCTGATACCTGTACACTTCGATCCAACCAACATAATACAGGATCTCCTCCACCAATTAACACCACTGTCCTCTCTAGCCTCTACAGGTTTGGACTCAATATGTGAGTCAGAGCCCCCATTCTGCGGGTAATGGACCAGTCTGAATTGGAATAGATCTTTCACTAGACATGATAATAAGTGCATACGAGGGATGAGGGCAGTGGGTAATTGGAGAGGTGCCGTGTGTAGCTCTCAGACCCTGCAGGTCTATCTTCTGTTCTGAGTCATGCTTATCTAGTGTTGGGAGGATTGGATTTGAGTTTTCTATACAACATACACCCCCTCCTCACTCCCCACTCTACACCCACCAGCTAGCTGGCTACACACTGGCTGTCACTTCGCATGACTCACTCCCTGCTTATTACATTGTCAGTGAATACTGTGTGGTCTTGAACTCTCAATGGAAGTATTGCTTTAGCCTTGCCTTATTAAATGTGACACCCACTGGGACAAACAGAAGGCCGAGGTCTAAGCTGCCCTGAAGCCTCTGTCTGGAAAGATAGAGAAATATAGAAATAGACATTATTCTCAGAAAATCATCTTACGTCCATCTTCAGCCATGACCTCCATAGTGTAGGTGCTGTTTTCCTCTCTGTCCAAGGCCTGGACGGTCTTCAGCTCACCTGAGTACTTCCCAATGGAGAAATACCTCTTTGTGTCTCCTCTGAGCGAGTATCTGGACAAAAACAAAACCCAAACCATTAGTACGTATTACTTCAGAGTATATGTGGGGTGGGATAACACCCTGAACCCCTTTAAACTGTGAATTAATGTTTATTTTTCATTATTTCTGATGAATGATGTTTCACCTGATTGGGTGTGAGTCTGGGTCATATCCACGAATAGTGGCAATAACCCGTCCTGGCTCCTCCCCCTCTCTGACAGTGACCTCGTAGTGGCTCTGGGACAGGATGGGGCCCTCGTTGATATCGTCCACATAGATGGAGACGGTTGCCGTGGACGCTGGGCCATACCTCCCTCGGACCAGGGCCACTGGGTTTTGAGCACTAAGGACCAGGATGTACTCGCTCTCCCGCTCGAAGTCCAGCACCTGCATGCATACAGGTTGCCATAGAAAGGCTGCTCATATGGAAGCGCATGCACTAACATACATGTAGTGTTCTGAGAGCTGTGAAATATGGGAACATAGTGTTCTACATACAGTGCAAGAATGAACACTAGGAAAATAATCATGGGAGGGCTTTACTAACATTTCCTAGAAAACAGCAGACTTTATCTAAAGAGCAAAAAGCGGTCAGTGAATCTGTTGTGAATGTGCCATTTCAGCACTCCATGAGATGCACAGGCTGCTCATTTAGACTGAGCAAAATATCGAACCGCCCCCTCCAGAGGCATGGGATTGTATTACGCTCATCGAGCAAACACAGGAGGTCAGAAAGAGCCTGCATATGTCTGCTGGGAATCGGCGCGTTCCACATATTTACAGACTGATTCCTACAGCGACTCTAAAGTAAACAAGGCCTCTATAATACCGTCACCTGCATGTGAGACAAGCTGATTTACCGGCAGAGTTTTATTTCCACTGTAAAACAGAAACTGGAATGACAGGGACAGCCATTTGATTCAAGGGTCAACTGACATGAATCATGCTTGTGACGGAGAATCCCGTTAGTGGACAGCCGTTGCTATGCTTACTCTGTGAGTTGTCTACGTTCTGGTGAAATGAAGTGATTGTTGTTGCTAATAACATGTAGCCTGGCCCAAATAGCTACCTCTGTTGCTAGAGAGAAAACACAGACGTTCAGACGTTGATCTGTGTTGGAGTGACTAATGGTGCTGACTGGAGGTGAAGTGCAGGTTTATGTCAGGCAACAACCAGAAGAATCCAACCACCACTCAGCTGCTGTTGCTGGCCTTAAGTTACTGTGTGGAGGGCGGCCCACTCGGTTAAATGGGGACACTTGAAGCATGAGAGTCTCCAGCTCAATGGATTTAAAAAGAAGGAGACGATTACTTGTGATCCCCTCTTTCATATCAAGATCATAATAAGATCAAAGCATTAGTCCAGTGTGTGAGGTTGTGTGTGTGTGTGTGTGTGTGTGTGTGTGTGTGTGTGTGTGTGTGTGTGTGTGTGTGTGTGTGTGTGTGTGTGTGTGTGTGTGTGTGTGGTATGTGTAGCGCATGCGCGTTGGTGTGTTCGTCTGTAATCTCCATTCTTTCCCCTGAAAAGGATTGAATCAGCTATGTGCACCTGCCACCCAGCACACAGCCACTGACCACACACTTTTCTATCCCATCATCTCTAATTCACCATTCATGACGGCAGGTGTGTATGCGTGTGGGAGACATTTCAACAGAACTCATGCTTGACATGGGTCTGGTAAAAGGCCCAGAGTTTTTCCTGATCAAGTCACATAGATTATCATGCTACACCCAACCTCAGACACATCTGCCTACAGTACAGCAGGAGCTGAATATCCACATTGATATCATCTTTACGCTATCAAAACAACTGTAGCACAGCACCAGAGAGCCAGATGAGCTAGTGTTTAGTTAGCAGTGCCTTGCCTATGTGGTTTATAGTGAGTAAACTGCAATTACTTTCTACAGACTAATGGCACTGTGCGATTATTCAATTAGACTTTGTGGAATCTGTTCTTAATAAGACAATGGGACTACCCTCTGGGTTGTGTCAGTCTCGCCACAAGGTCACATATTAGTGAGCATGCTCTGATGCACTAACATGCTATTTTATCGTTGGCTAGCTTTAAGCGTGTAACTGCTGCACAAACAATACACCATACGTGGTGCTTCAAAATTAGCTACAGTAGGCCTATGTCAGAGCCTTATACGGCTCTGTCATACATTTGATATTGTTACTGTATGTCAGGGTCCATCAGATACAATGCAAAGGGGTTGTGCTCCAGTCCTATATCAGTTTAGACAACTCCTGGTTTACCTCTGTGGAATATGGGTAACATTTCTCTACTCTCATAGAGAGGTAGAACATAGTTGCCACACTTCCAGGGAATTGGGACACACACAATGACAAACACTCTCTCTTTGTCTCCAAAGCCCTCCTGTCCAGGCCAGGGGAGAGCTGAGGCAGGGCGATGCTGAGGCGGGGCTGGGAGGGTGGAGGGGATTACAGGAGACCAGGGAAGAGCCAAAGAGACACCCCAGGGATGGGCTCAGATTATTTTGGGATAAACTCATTTTTTTTGTCATGGCTTATTTTTGGGACACGTGCCGTTGAAATAGCCACGTGTGTGTATGAAGAGACACAGAAAGTGATATACAAGATTCAATATGCCTGTATCTTTTCTTTATGGTTACTTACCGAAATGCATAATTATTAGAGTCTACATTGCATATTTCTATGAAGATATTATTACTGTTGAGATCATGTTAAAATGCATCATATTCATCGACGTCTAGGGCTCTCTGGGTTGTGTCTTATTTGTGAATGAACAAGAGAGAATAGAGACTGTTGAATGAAGGAGATGGCCGTACCTTGGAGAGGATGATTGAAACCTCATTGGTCTGCTTGTCTGTGACCAGCGTGAACACCTCCTCCTCGTTGCCAGACTCCAGCCTGTAATTCACCTGCCAGCTGTCTCCTCCCCTCTCATCAGCATCCCACGCCGACACCACTGTTACCGTGGCTCCCAAAGGAGCATCCTCTGCCAGGTGGAAGGGGCCGTACTAGGAGAGAGGGGGAGGAGGGAGAGAGAAAGGTGAGAGGAGAAAGGGAGAGAGGAGGGGGGGATGAGGACAGGGAGAAGAAAAAGATCATGAAGCAGGGGCTACTACATCTGCATTGCTTTCTCTCTGGAGTTTTAGGCTGGGTATCTGTAAAGCACTTTGTGACAACTGCTGATGTAAAAACAGCTTTATAAAATTAATGTGATTGATTGAGAAATAGTTGAAAAGTATATTATTTAGTATTAGATTGATTTAGCTTAGAATGTGCACTTTTAGGACTACTCCATTGGTTCCGTTGTTCCAGGCAAACTAAATCAAGTGCATTTCAAAAGTTTTAACATATTTGACATAATCTAGGTTATGTATTTGACCCAGGTCTGGTGTGTGTATGCAGGCGTGTCCCCTGTGGCCCTGTGTTGTTGACCTTCATTCACACACCTCCTATCTCTCTGCTTGGGAGTCCTTTAATCTGCCACTCACTGTGACCCTCCACTGAAGCGGCTGTGTCTCTGATCTGCTTGCCCAGGCTAGAGGGTCGCTGATACCATGGGTCTCACCACTCACCTGCCAGCTCCCTACAAACCCGTTCACATGTTGCTGGAAAAAGCAGGGGCACTCTGGCGTGACCCACTCAAGAGCTTTTTCCACCTCTGTGTGTGTCTGTGTGTGTGTGTGTGTGTGTGTGTGTGTGTGTGTGTGTGTGTGTGTGTGTGTGTGTGTGTGTGTGTGTGTGTGTGTGTGTGTGTGTGTGTGTGTGTGTGTGTGTGTGTGCCATAGTGAAAGAACATGAGCCTGGGGCTGGCATCGACTCAAGAAATGATCGACAGCATTGTTGAGGTGCATAGAGAATCCAAAATGAGAATGGCTGTAAATCTTTTGCCATGGCTTGCACCCAATGAGGAACACACTGGATGACTCTGGAATGACTGTAGAATATGAAGGCAGGGCACGTCTCCTGTATCTTAACAGTACCTTCTCTCACTCCGAGAGCATCTAAACATAACAAGCACAGTTGGTGTTTACATTGACTTAGTCTAGCACCAGGTCAACGAGAGCTTTGTGTGTTCATTGTCACATGTCCCCATCTTAAGATGGCGATTTGCTCCCACATCTTTCACGACTATCCTGTCTCCTGCATTATTCAGGAGGTGTGGGTGTAGACTGTTTTCCATTCTGGAACAGTGTGTGAGAAAACAGTCTATCTTTGGCCCGTATACTGCATACCTTGAGGCCAGAGCTAACCCAATGTTGTCTCATAGAGACCTCAGCTGTGACTTCATTATTCATGAGGATCGACTATGGAAAAGACCGCTGGAAACACTGACTGTCCCCAAAGATGCTCTCATAGATCAAAAATAGCCTTTATGTTAAGATTAAGGTCAATTTAATTGGTAGGCTCAGGGACACTCCCCCCGTACCAGAGGAGATGACGACACTGTGCGGCTAATGAGATCTCTTATGATTCACTTCTGAGGGCTTTTTATTGACAAATTCCAGAACAATGCAGTTCATTTCTCTATTAGAAGGGATGCATTTTTCACTTTTAACAAAGTATTTCATATTTAATCTAAAACCACTTTTTTGGACTAGTGTGCTCAGACATAATATTGAATATTGCTCAGTGCGATGATTTTTCTATAAAGATGTGAAATGTTCCGACTGCTGTAAGTGTGAGGGATATCATTTAGAGCTGTCTTATGGCGATGCTGTGGATTTGCCTATTCTATAAATAAAGGATTCTCAAAGGCCTCATCTGAGGCTTACTCAGATTAACTCAGAGAACATTGTCCATTTGGAGCACAATGAGAAAAAACCCTACAATAATATGGTTCCATCTCTACAGATGTAGGATATTAATTTGATCACCCTGTTGTGGGAGAACTTTCCTGCAATGCACGAAATGTAAAACGTGTAGTGTATTTGAGGTTTAAAAATGCTTCTGAAATTTCCGACTTGATTTTCCATTACGAAAAATTGCCCATTAATTATAATCCACATAATAATTCAAATGTTCTGTTGCTGCAGGATTACTTTCCTGCTGTAGCAAACTGGCTCAAATGATGATCCTACATTTGTATAAGCCTGAGATTAAAGCTCGGATCCCCCTCGAAGCACTCCATCTCGCTCCCCTCTGGGAAATCAAATCAGTGACCTGGAGGGAGAGTTCACACAGCAGCCATCCAACAGAAGAGAAAAATCTAATATATAAGCAGATAGATTTGCAATGAGTGCTCTGAATCACTTCTATCCCCCAAACCCAAACCCAAAATCACAGGTCAGTCCCCTCTTCAGCCTGCGTAAAGGTACCTCGTGTTGAGTGAAGACGGGTGGGTTGTTGTTCTCGTCCTGCACTGTCACAACCACAGTACATGAGCTGTTTAACCCTGCAAATGAAATCATCATCAGAGAGAGATAGGCTCCATTAGTGAGTCATTTCGTTTGGCATGCCTCTGTCATACTGATGCCCTCAGTCTTAATCATGATCATCAGTCACTGTAGTGTCATATTTAAACAATATTCTCCTCAGAGGATACATCTGCTAGTCTAAAACTCATTTACACTACCACTGCACCCGTGTCTACATATCACAATAGGTTACTACTATAGAGTATCTCTGGATTATCTTTACATTGTACTATGCATACATTATCTTTGTGGAAGTAATCCCTCACCCCTCTCCCTAACACCACAGAACCACATTGCCATGCAGTACTGTTGGTCACCTTTAGCGTCCTCAGCAGTGATGGTCAGTGTGTACTGTGGGGCGGCTCCCTCTAGGTTGTCTGCCTGCACTGAGATGACCCCAGAGTCACGGTCCACCCGGAACAAGGCACGAGGGCTCTCTGGGATCTGGCCAACCAGCCGGTAGAATATCCTCACGTTATCTGTTTTGGGATCATCGTTGTCGGCTGCTTGAACTGTGAGGATTTCCGTCCCTGGGAAAAGAGCAAAGTCCTCACAGATTAGTGTGTGGGCAAAACAAAAACAGAATTGAACCCTCTCCATATTTATTTATTTTTTCGGAGTATTTCGTTTTAAGCCTAAACAAAAGGCCTTTGTGATCCAGTTTGTTCCAGAGTTATCTGTAGGAGTGTGTTAAATGAGTGTTCTGAGGGTTGTGCCTCACCCCGTGGGGCGAGCTCCTTGACCACGGTGTGGTACTGTGTAGTAGGGAACGTGGGCCTGTTGTCGTTGGCATCGCCCACCATCACCCTCAGCTCCACAGGCTTGGCGATCTCCCTGCCGTCCGGACGCTCCACCACAATGCTGATCTGGAACTAACAGACAGAGCCACATGGGGTCATGTACTTTCACAAAATGTCAGATAGATTAAATCTCCCTGTCTGGATGCACAGTGAGACCACAAACAGTCACACTGGAATAACACAGAGCGCAAGCTCTCAGCCTGGAAAGATCTTAATGTTCTGTATTGAACGTGGCACAATTACACACTGGAACATCAGTTTGAGATAAAGCCACAACGATTTTGTATTTATTATCTATTGAGCTTTCTTAGAATAGATGGGGGGATGGGAGGTGTGTGGGGTGTATGAGTGTGAATAAAATGTGGGGGTTTTTTTTGTGCAGATTGCCCCCCTCCCCCCTTTCACTTCAACCTGAAGACAGGCAGTGACTGTGTGTCCATTGATTCATGGACTGCTTATCAGCTCACAGCACTGAGCCATTTTGCTTGTATAGCGCCTTCTTTGACACGTCCAGGGATTATTCATCATCTCTGCACCCCGTATGGGCACACAACTCTGTCAACACCAAGTGAAAGGTACTGTACATGTGCATCCCCCTTCTCCTCTCCTCCCTCTTCCCTCCATCAGCTGTACGAGTCACATGCCGCTGACATATGAGTCTCAGTCAGTCAGCGTGGAACCATCTCAATCAGGGAACCTGGACTGCCTCACTCGTGTTGTTTTGTGTGAGGAGGTGTATCGATAGGCTGTGACTCAGTGTGATGCATGCTGGAACATGACAGCTCCATCACGGTAGGTGACAGTCACTGCCAGGCAGGAAGAGAGGTGAAGGAGGGGAGAGGGGGTGTGTCTGGCTTTATAATTACTGTACTATAGGTAGAGTTCAGACAGAATAGACTCTCAGAGGGCTTTCTGTAGAAACAGAACATCCAATACAGTGATGGATTTCTCCTTACTTGTGTCAGACCAGTGAGCAGTAAGGTCTCTGGGCAGACATGTTGCTTGCTACTCTGCAGAATGACCCCAAAGTCAACCTGTGCCAAAAAGTGATGTTTATCTAATCCTGTACAGCTTTGGAGCTTAGCTTCTTGGCAAACTCCAGAGGAGGAAAAAAGACACGTTGTGATTTGAGTCATGATCCTCCTTTTCTTGTTTACCCCGATTTTCCTCTGTCCTTACAGTGTACTGTCGTACATCACATGACATTACTCTGCATTCACTGCCCTAACAAGTCTTTACTCTACGATAAAGACAGGGGGTACGATAGATACAATGTGAATGAAAACAGTGTGCCCACTCACCTGGTCCTGAGTCTCTCTGTCTAGTGGGGCGTTGAGAGAGATGACTCCCTCTCTGCTGACAGTGAACAGCATCTCTGGGAATTCCCCCTCCAGGCTGTACTCTACCAGACCCCCACTCCACTTCACCTAGACACAGCACAGGGAAGCAGGGAAGGCACCGAACAGGTCATAAACTGAACATCGTTTCAATTGCTTCTCTCTCTCTCTCCTCTCTCTCTCTCTCTCTCTCTCTCTCTCTCTCTCTCTCTCTCTCTCTCTCTCTCTCTCTCTCTCTAGTAAAGCATAGATACCTAGGCTTTACTAGAGAGGGAAACCCCTGATTTAAAGCACAGGGCTGGACAGGGAGCTGTATGATTGGCTCAAAGGACCCCATGAAACAGCACCCAAGAAGGAGCTGTGTACATCTCCTCATCACACTGTCACACTCCACTCCATTGTTTTGGAGATGGCTCCCCAAACATTGAGGCTGTGTATACACAAGACTCTCTTCTCACTACTGCCTTACTCCCAGTGTTATTGTGTTTCAGGGCCTCAGTGCTTTGAAGAGATGTAGTATATAACAACGTGATTAATGACTTGGTTGTTCTAAAAATGGAGGAGTAGAGCACACTAGCTGATGTAATGTTTTGCTTTCAGTGCTTTTTTAACAGCTTGCAGTGCACGCTCTGTCTTCTATGTCACCTTGTGAATAAGCAGTCTTAAAAGGCAATTCCGCCACTTTTCAACTTCATATTCATTATCTCCAGCACCATACCAGTGTCTGCGTATGTGAAAATGGCGCGTTTCTATGATCTGTGGTTAAAAGGATAAGAAGAAAGGTCCTAAAACATTATTCAGTGATTTTCAAAGCCTGCAACGAGATTCTAGACAGAGGGAGGGTATTTTCTTGCTCCCTGCGTCACCGCGCATCTCATGTTTGAAAATCACTCTTTTTAAAATGTTTTCATTTTTTGATTATGTCAACAAAACGTAGAAATGCGTCGTTTTCACATTTGTAGACACTGGTATTGTGCTGGAGATAATGAAATGAGGTTGAAAAGTGGTGGAATTGCCCACAACTTCTGTATTTCTAATAGATCCATTTTATTTTACAAATCTGACTTACATGTATAAGAAGTATGCTCAATGTGGAATTCTCCTGCCTTGATTTAGCCAGAAAATGCCCAAAGATGAGCAATGCTTCTTGAGATCAACAACCAAAGTGCACCTATATCAATGACATGTGACTGAATGAAAATATTTGGAAAGAGAAATGCATAATAGAAGAAAAATACATCAGCATAATGCATACGTGTAGCACGACATTTCACTGGGTAGATAAATGACTTTCCATGCTGTTGATAGTAAAGGGCTCCCAGTCATACTCAGAGTCTTTCAACATGACCCCCCCCATCTGTTTGGTAACAGCACAGCTGTGAGTCCTACCGCCTACATACACATGGTGGTAAATGCAGAGTGGGTGGAGAGAGGCTTTTCCCATCATGTAGGCACAGTCACCAGTGGTGGATTCTACACTGTTAACCCTTTACATGGACATGCAGATGTGGTATTATGTGGTGCCTCTACAATACAAGTTACAGCCTAATTAATTGTGATATAGTAATAGTATGTTGACAAACAGATTCCTACTAAGTAGATGCACTATAAAAAACATAAGTAATAGCCGATATAATCTTTACATTGCAGTATAAAGTAATAATATACATCATGATGCTTTGTGGTCCTTTGTAGCGCTTAGCTCAGTTGGTAGAGCAATGGCGCTTGTGGATAAAAGTGTCTGCTAAATGGCATATATTATTATTATTATTTTGCAATCAGATTTAAAAGAAGCATATCTTTTTTGAGAATCTCAAGAACAGAGTCATCTTGTACTTTAAACCTGGTCCATGCTTTTCTGTCAGCCTCCCACCTCCCTGACCCCGCCTCTGAGCTGTGAAGAGCTCTAGAGCACAACTTCTAGCACATTCTCTCTTTCTCTCTCTCTCTCTCACACACACACATTTATGTTCTGGCAGAGATTTGGAGGATTTGTTTGAGATTTTGCCTGTCCACATTTGGATAGATTTTATTTTAGGTTGGTAAATTGCCATTGAAAATGTGAAAAAGATCAAATCTGCCCACGTTTTGAGTCCACACGTTTTCAGTGGGCGGATGGAGCTGGCGTGAGTGAGAGGAGGAGAGGAGGAGGAGAGGAGGAAGAGGAGGTGGAGGGGAGTTACTGTGGTGACACCCACAGACCACACTGAAATTTAGAAATACACATATTCACAGCAAATCATGACTTTATGTTCTCGAATTTGCATTACTGTCTTGAGGTCTTAAGTTTGCATTTCTGACAATGTTCCATTGTTGTAAGCACCTATATATAGAAAACAGACTATTGTTTTCCAGACTAATAAATGTTGATAGAAATGCAGAGAAGATTCATACTACTGAGCAGTAACAGAACGTCTAGTTTTCCTCTTTCTGATAATGTCAGATGTTTCCGGTTATTCAAATCAAATCAAATTGTATTTGTCACATACACGTGTTTAGCAGATGTTATTGCGGGTGTAGAGAAATGCTTGTGCTTCTACCTCCGACAGTGCAGTAATATCTAACAAGTAATATCTAACAATTTCACAACATATACCCAATATGGTTAATTTAAGAATATATACATAAATGGACAAGCATGCACAGCTTTACACAGCTTTAGTGATTTTGTGCTGATGCAAGCAGTGGGCCGTGGCTAATATTATAAATGTTGAATAACAAGCTAAACGTCAGACTGTAAAGCAGACCAGGTGCAGATACAGAGACACTGGCCCCGCACAGAGCACAGAGACTGATCCCTATTCAATACAACCGCTAAGTCAGAAACAAAGTGTGAGGTTTGATTGAGCAATCTTCGACATTATGGACACACACACAGACACACACACCGACAGCGGGAACGGAACCTCAGGCTACCGTGACTCAGGCAGGGGAAAGGCTAGGGGTATGAGTGACATTAATAATGCACACCTTGGTCGCTTAGGAAAGCCCGGAGGGGGGGGGGGGCTAAAAAGACAACAACACAACTGCAGTATCCTGATGATTCACCCATTCCTTTACAAGGAACAGTCAAATAGAATATCTGAGGAAAGTTCACAGTGTTTGACATTTGTCAGAAGACCCCTTTCCATTTTTCTAGACTAGAGGCAAATGACACCTGAAAGCATCACTGTGTGTCACCTGTGAGATGGGGATGGAGAAGGAGCATGATACTATGTCACCTGTGAGATGGGGGTGAGGTAGGGGCCAGGGAGGTTCTACCTGTGAAATGGGGATGGGGTAGGGGCCGGGGAGGTTCTACCTGTGAAATGGGGTAGGGGCCAGGGAGGTTCTACCTGTGAGATGGGGATGGGGCCAGGGAGGTTCTACTTGTGAAATGGGGATGGGGTAGGGGCCAGGGAGGTTCTACCTGTGAAATGGGGTAGGGGCCAGGGAGGTTCTACCTGTGAGATGGAGATGGGGCCAGGGAGGTTCTACCTGTGAAATGGGGATGGGGGTAGGGGCCAGGGAGGTTCTACCTGTGAGATGGGGATGGGGGTAGGGGCCAGGGAGGTCCTACCTGTGAGATGGGGATGGGGCCAGGGAGGTTCTACCTGTGAAATGGGGATGGGGGTAGGGGCCAGGGAGGTTCTACCTGTGAGATGGGGATAGGGTAGGGGCCAGGGAGGTTCTACCTGTGAGATGGGGATAGGGTAGGGGCCAGGGAGGTTCTACTTGTGAGATGGGGATGGGGCCAGGGAGGTTCTACCTGTGAGATGGGGATGGGGGTAGGGGCCAGGGAGATTCTACCTGTGAGATGGGTGTGGGGCCAGGGAGGTTCTACCTGTGAGATGGGGATGGGGTAGGGGCCAGGGAGGTTCTACCTGTGAGATGGGGATGGGGCCAGGGAGGTTCTACCTGTGAGATGGGGATGGGGCCAGGGAGGTTCTACCTGTGAAATGGGGATGGGGGTAGGGGCCAGGGAGGTTCTACCTGTGAGATGGGGATGGGGTAGGGGCCAGGGAGGTTCTCCTGGAGGCGAACAGGGTCTGGTGACGCCCAGGTGTTTCCCGTCACCTCCACCGTCACGATGCCCATGGAGAAGAAAGCGTTGGGTTTCCCCCCCATGTCCTTCACCATCACTGACAGCTTGTAGCGGCCACACATCTCTGGGTCCAGGGTGGAAGCCCCTGGAACACACACACATATATATCAATATATTACAATCAGATATTTAGACAAACACACAAAATAAATCACTGAGGTCAGCAGTAGCATACGTCATAATTATTATCATATATAATGATAACCGGGGGCTGTAGGCTATAGGCTATATATAGCAGTTGAATATACAGTAACCACCACAAGTGGGGCAGAATGAAATAACCAAGGGGAGAAATTGGGCTGTTGAATGATTGTGGTGGCATGTTAGGTGTTTAACTGAAAGTGTTTTCCAGTCTGATTTTATAGGATATGTCTCAGTGTCTAGAAACACACTGTTGACCTGTAAAATGTAAAGCCCTGCTTGGTGGCTATAATGGGTCACTTAAATTGAATGGCGGACTGCTACGATCCAGGGAGTCCTGGAGCTGCATTACGTTGTTCACAGACAGCACGTTAAAAAAAGCGGGAAAACATTGTTAATAACCCACTAACAAGGCCATCAGAGTCCTAAATACGTAATTAGCCAATTTCACAGTTAAATGGACCTATAGTGGCAGCCAATGGGGTGGATTGGGGTTGTTAGTGTTGTCTAGCTTCAGTCATGCTGTAACATAGGGCCACCATGGTAACCAGAAGTCCTGAAATAGCACCAACACTGCCCAAATTGGGACTGTTTTTATCAGAGTTAACTGGTGTACGTGTGTATGTGTGTACGTGCGTGTGTGTGTGTATGTGTGTGTGTGTACGTGCATGTGCGTGTGTACATGCGTGTGTGTGTGCGTGCGCGTGTGTATGTGGATTGAGAGGAGTGTACTAAGTAATTCATTTAACTGTGAATTGAGAAAAGTAAGACAATACCATGTAGAATAAAACAGGACAGTTGAGTGAGGGGCCTATAACTCACCGTCCTCAGTGAGTGACACCTCGCCGGTCACAGAGTCTATGAAGAACATGTGACTGGAGGGGATCCTGGGGGTCTGGTCCATCAGGCTGAAGCGCAGGTCAGCATGGGCTGTGTTACGGTCGTCACGGTCAGATGCCCCCACCTGCATGAATGAGATCCCTAGCCAAGAGAAAGATAGACAAGCTTCTGTACAGCTGTGTACATTCAGACTGTGATTTGACTAGTCTATCATAAGCAAGGATGACAATGGCTATTTCTTATAGTGAAACATCCTTACTCAGTTTAAATCCCAGTATTCCTCCTGGACAATCCTGATTTAGTTATGTTAACCTTCAGACTTTATTCCAACATAATTTTACATAACTTTACATTTGGTAAAAACATGAATTGGTAAACATATTTGTATCTACTGTCGTTCATGTGAATAGAGGCACACTTTATGGGGATATTACTATAACCTCTCAATGTAAAGTCTGCTCTATAATTGCCTGAAGTTCACATCACAATGTTATCAATGGTAACCCACTATCTGTTGGTGTGATGCTCACACTCACACAGCACCCTCCGTTTATCCACTCAACCGTGAGTCCCCTCAGTTACATAAATCCAAACGCTTGAGTCATCTCTTACACAAAAACTCAAAGAACTACCCCACAATAGCTCAAGGTCAGACTGTAGTAAGACCCCAATAAAAAAGATGAAGCACATCACCTCTACCTCTAATACATGTCCTTCACTAGAGCCATGTGGTTAGTTCAGGTGATACTATTTCTGTATAAGTCATGAAGATTCAGACAATGCAAACATCACTCATCAGTATGTATTGGGAAATAAACTCATGAATATGTCACAAATTAAAATCCCTTCTGTGAACTCCGGTATTTGTTTTCTCCTGAATGGTGGATGGGCTCTATGTTCTGGCTAGTATAACCAACCTTTCAGAAGTCCCAGCTGCACACTGCCTCTCATGCTCTCCTCGATAAACACAGGCACGTTGTCGTTCTTGTCAATGACGCATACTTCCACCATAAAGCTCTGAGACTGCAAGGATACTGTGAAGGACACCTGTGATGAGCGCACAAGGTTTCAAGCGCTTAGTACCTAATCGTGCCCCTCATAACACGCTAAAGATGTCTTCAATGCTATATGAAGACATTGTAGTCTCTCACTTTTACATATACAGTATTTCTCACCAATCTGCTCCACACTAAAATTGTAACATTTTATTAGGCAGAGATCTAAATTAAGCATGGAGGTAATAGCATTCTTTCACTCAGGCTGCTACTCAAATGGCCAATATTGACTTCCTAATTTAGGTCTATCTTCCGTTCCTGTAGTGACTGGCTATGCCTGTCACGCAATCCTGGGCTAACAAGGGTGACATTACTTGACTTCCTGTAGTAATTATTTTCTCTAGTGGCAATTACAGCTGAGAAGCTGGGGGGGAAAAACTCACTTCCAGCTTAAAGTAAATGCAACTGTAAGTATGAAGGGCAAATATAAGTTAATTAAGACAAATACGGTAGCCTAAAGATCTAATTTGATTGTAATTAACTAAGGATATTGTGTCTCATTTGATGTTGCTAGACAGTACATTGTTTGAGGACAAGCCAGAGATAATACACCCCAATCAAAACAAATCATTGCAATATATTGTATTCAATTTGATGGTATTTTTGATGAGGATGATTGCAATATCGTTCCATCCATGCAATCTCATAGGTCACCTTGTGTTCCATCTTTGCCAATGGCCATAATAACCGCATGGATGATTAATCACGTATTGTGATGTATTGTAAACGTAATCATGTATTGTAAACATATCACTACATGCATAGATAATGCCATAAATGTGTGACTGTCAACCTGCAGAGAGTAAGATGGCTGCTTCTCTCTGTCCAGAGGCTTCAGGGCATAAAGAAATCCTGCCTCAACTCCAAAGATCCCCTCATCGTCCCCTTTCACCACAACGTCAGTGTAGGTAGCTGGGAGGTCAGGGAGCTGTGTTGGACAAGGACAATAATATTAATTCAATCTACAATTCCCTCTTCACTACAATAGACTTTAACTTTAGTATTCTCGGCAAGAGTCACATGTGCAGCTAAAATAAAACTTCTAGTTACTGTGTGTGGGCAAATGTTGACCTTTTACATCAAAGTTGAGAGGATAACTGTATGTCACTGCAAGCACAGGAGATCTCTGGGCCTTGTGTAATGTCTTTTTGCTCTGCTCATATAAAGTCAATTGATCATTCACCCATTCTATGACGTGTAAATGGATGAATATGTGTATGTATAGCTCCATCTGGCAATCCTTTTGAATCTTTTGAGTGAGCGGTTATGTGTCATAATGAACGTTGACATTTTCCCCCCTTATGGAAAACTTGTTCACCGCTGACAGTTTGTTCTCAAGGGTGTCACAAGCTGCTGGCAGAGGGGCAGTCACAAAACAGACGCCCTCTGGTCCAGACCCACAATGCCTGTGTCTGGCCCGGCCATGGTCAGATATGAATGGGTATCCTAGTCATGTACTGTGTGACTGTCTATCGTAGAGGACTGTCATGGCAGCCTGGCCTGGCACGGTGTGACTGTGGCATGGTTAGAGCAGCCTATGAAACAGGAGCATGCTGGTGATCTCGTGCCACTCAGCGCTGCATGTTTTACGGCTTCACATACCACATAGCAACTGGCTCTCAGCTGCCAAAGCCGTGCCAATGATCTCAGCATGTGTTCAACTCCTGAGAACCTAACACTTTGATTTGGTCTGGGATACTTCTTTCTTGACTGCTCCATAACCTCATTTTAGACCAACAGGCTGCAAAGTCTATATTTAAGGCTATGCAGTGGTTGACAAAGTAGCTAATCGTTCACACCAAACATTCTTCTCTTGTCATGAATCTAATGTGTTGACATGAAATGCAAATGTTTTCATGACAGAAATGTATCTTTTTCATTCTTACATTCATGTTATGATTTTAAAAAACAGCTATCATGTGCCAGAGCAGGATACCTGAGAAGTTCAGAGCCGTTCAAATAGTAAAGCTGGTGAGAAAACAACTCTGACTCATAGACCTGACTGTCAGTGCCATTTCTGCTCAAGAACACACATTTTAAAGTAATAATGTTGTCCTTTCCACCCTAACACAAAGTAGAGCCAATTATCCGATCTCCACCATGTCCGCCATTAGAGTGAATCTGAGGTATGTTTTGATCATACATCATGCAAAAGGGAAGAACATGACTGGACCACGCATTTAATTTGACAGCTTCAAAAGGCCTTCAATTACAGTGTCAAACACATGCGCTGCCAGGACAAACCTGATGATTTCTAAGTGAAGAAAATAATCCTCCTGGCCATGGATGCAGGGCTGGCGTCTCCAATTTTTGAACAGACAGCCAGAGGCGCTCCAATTTTTGTTTCGTGATGAGGGAGCTGTGCGGGAGTAGCTCCGGTATAATTATATCTTGAGCGCTGAATGCAGTGCAACAGCAAAACTTTTTATGGCTCTTCTCCCTCTTTTACTTGCATACAGCCATTAATACATCAATATCAGCAGGACCAGGGTATGATGCATCACACAGACTGGCAGCAATATGGAGATAATTATTCCTTAATTATTATTTCCCAATAAGCAAGCTGCTTTGTTGTAAATGTTTTTTTTTTTGCATAAATGGTCAAATTAACTGAAAAGTCTTACCTTAGCCAGGTACCATGGGAAAATACCATCATAGTTTTCAGGGACGCCAATTTTAAGATTGGCCCCTGAGCACTGTGCGGGAGTCTGAAGTACCACCAACTACAAAAATCCAAGGAGACAAAAGACAGCATGAATTTCAATCATTTAGTTGAGGTTTGTTTTCACATAAATAGTATATCAAAATCATAATAATCTCAGATTGCTATAATAACCTGTGAAGGCCACATTCAAAGGAAGCATACTTACAGTCAGTGTAATGATAAAGATGGACATAACTTATCTTCCAGTCATGTGTTTCTGTAACTGTATATCTGTAAATGCAGGATGCACAACATTTCCAGTCAAACAGTGGTTATTTTTTACCTTTGGGAACACATGGTTTCTATGATTTCTGTCTTGTTACGGATTGATTATCACTGTTATGAAGCAGAGAATGAAAGATGGAGAAAGGGAAAGAGAAAGAGAGAGAAAAACCCAGTGTGAATGCTGCATGTGCAAATATTCTATTTTAATCATCTTTTTAAAAAATATTTACAAAAATTAATAGACCTGCCAATCTGCAGAATCAACCATCTTAAAAATGTAAATACAACTTCAATAGGCCTACACCTGTGCAAGAAAATGTTGCATTTAAATGGCTGTTAGGTTAAATATATACTCAGTAGCCACAGGCAGTAGGCCTACATGGTACATTAATGTCTCATCACATTCACAGACTTAAAAGCGGAACTTACCCTGCAACCTGGACTCAGGGGTAGAGGTAACATAGTACATTACAATCTGAGTCACTCAAATTAGTATGATATGTTACGAATTACAATTCGTATATGTTACAAATTACAATTTGTATGATATGTTATGAATTCTAATTTGTTTTGGCTAACGTTAGCTAGGTGGCTAACACTAACGTTAGCTATGTGTCTAACATTAGCTAGGTTAGGGGTTAAGGTTAGGAGTTAGGTTAAAGGGTTAAGGTTAGGGTTAGGGGAAGGGTTAGCTAACATGCTAAGTAGTTGCAAAGTCGCAAAAAAGTAGTAAGTAGTTGCAAAGTTATACACCCGACCAACCACCCTCCTTTAGTTTTTGCCTTAAGTAACCTTCTGTCTTATGTAACCATACTGAAACCATCCTATTTTGAGTGTACTATGGTACATCTAGTCTATGAGAGCAGGCTGCACTCTGTTTCCCAGGGCATGATTACACCTGCGACACAAAACAGCCTAGCAATTAATTGTTCTCTCTATAACAAGAATATTATGACTTTATAGTATGTCTTATATGGTCACAAAAGACAAGGCAATTGGCACAAGAAAGAGTTAATGATGAGATTTGGCACTCCAGTAAATCCCCCCAAAATAAAATAATGCTGGGCACAGGTCGCGGGAACCTCTGTACCTCGCTGATGGCCCATCGCGCCGCAAACTACAATTCACAACACCCATTGGCCATTCGCTTGCAACAATATTTACATGTCTTATTATGATTTACAAAGACCGGCGAATGAAAACAATCTCACTCTCTGAACCTCAACCTGTAGGCCAGAATAAGAGCCTATACCTCACAAAAACGGAATGAATGATTGGCAAACATTACTTATTTACCTAACACTCCACGATCATTTTTGCAATTACATTTTCATTCGAAAACGTTCTATTTATTGTGTCTTACCTTCTCTCAATCATGTGCGTGTTCTCTATGAAGGAGGGAGAACGGTTTGAATAGTGTGGAAAAACGAAGTGCGTTTGCACGCCTCTCCAGTTTAATGTTTTGACTACCTTGTTTCCTTCCAATAATGATGTTGGTCAACAAGACTCCAGTCCACTGAACAATCTATGAATGAATATTTATGAGGACATAAATCAAATAACAAGGTCTGTTTTATATACAGTACCAGTCAAACGTTTGGACACCTACTCATTCAAGGGTTTTTCTTTATTTTTACTATTTTCTACATTGTAGCATAATAGTGAAGACATCAAAACAATGAAATAACACATATGGAATCATGTAGTAACCAAAAAAGTGTTAAACAAATCAAAATATATGTTTTATTTTATATTATTCAAAGTAGCCACCCTTTGCCTTGATGACAGCTTTGCACACTCATGTCATTCTCAACCAGCTTCATGAGGTTGTCACCTGGAATGCATTTCAATTAACAGGTGTGCCTTGTTAAAAGTTAATTTGTGGAATTTATTTCCTTCTTAATGCATTTGAGCCAATCAGCTGTGTTGTGACAAGGTAGGTGGGGTATACAGAAGATAGCCCTATTTGGTAAAAGACCAAGTCCATATTATGGCAAGAACAGCTCAAATAACATTTACATTTACATTTTAGTCATTTAGCAGACGCTCTTATCCAGAGCGACTTACAGGAGCAATTAGGGTTAAGTGCCTTGCTTAAGGGCACATCGACAGATTTTTCACCTAGTCAGCTTGGGGATTAGAACCAGCGACCTTTCGGTTACTGGCAAATAAGCAAAGAGAAACAACAGTCCGTCATTACTTTAAGACATGAAGGTCAGTCAATCTGGAAAATGTCAAGAACTTTGAACGTTTCTTCAAGTGCAGTCGCAAAAACCATCAAGCGCTATGATGAAACTGGCTCTCATGAGGACCACCACAGGAATGCAAGACCCAGAGTTACCTCTGCTGCAGAGGATACATTCATTAGAGTTAACTACACCTCAGATTGCAGCCCAAATAAATGCTTCACAGAGTTCAAGTAACAGACACATCTCAACATCAACTGTTCAGAGGAGACTGCGTGAATCAGGCCTTCATGGTCGAATTGCTGCAAAAAAAACTCTACTAAGGTACACCAATAAGAAGAAGAGACTTGCTTGGGCCAAGAAACACGAGCAATGGACATTAGACCGGTGGAAATCTGTCCTTTAGTCTGATGAGTCCAAATTTGAGATTTTTGGTTCCAATCGCCGTGTCTTTGAGAGACGCAGAGTAGGTGAACAGATGATCTCCGCATGTGTGGTTCCCACCATGAAGCATAGAGGAGGAGGTGTGATGGTGTGGGGGTGCTTTACTGGTGACACTGTCGGTGAGTTATTTAGAATTCAAGTCACACTTAACCAGCATGGCTACCACAGCATTCTGCAGCGATACGCCATCCCATCTGGTTTGGGCTTAGTGGTACTATCATTTGTATTTTAACAGGACAATGACCCAGAACACACCTCCAGGCTGTGTAAGGGCTATTTGACCAAGGAGAGTGATGGAGTGCTGCATCAGATGACCTGGCCTCCACAATCACCCAACCTCAACCCAATTGAGATGGTTTGGGATGAAGAAAAATAACTTCAAGACTGTTGGAAAAGCATTCCTCATGAAGCTGGTTGAGAGAATGCCAAGAGTGTGCAAAGCTGTCATCAAGGCAAAGGGTGGCTACTTTGAAGAATCGAAAATATAACATATATATTTGGATTTGTTTAACACTTTTTTGGTTATTACATGATTTTTTGATGTCTTCACTATTATGCTACAATGTAGAAAATAGTACAAATAAAGAAAAACCCTTGAAAGAGTAGGTGTCCAAACCTTTGACTGGTACTTTCGTTTTTGGTGTAACCTAATTGTTTTACGATCTGGGTAAGAAAAGATATGGAATATTTGTATTTCTTTTTTTTATTAAAAAAAATCAAATGTAAACATAACAAAATTATTGAATATTAAAATGAAGTGCAAATCAACTATATTTAAAACAAAACGTTAAATTCACATGACAAATATAACTTATTATTGCTTTCTTCATTCACATCTGGACTGAAGGTTAGGACAATAGAATCATATATTTTTCCAAAACCTGGCCTAACCCCCATTACACATTGTTCCTCTCCTCAGTATCATGGCCAAAGTACGAACCTGCGTACCCAGTTTCAAGTAAAAATGACTCCAGGTGACAGAATGCAGGGAAATCACTCATAGGGCTTACAGTTCCATTGCTTTTCAGGACAGTGTACCATCATGTAATCTTTCATGAGGGCTATATACAACACGACCAACACTACATGCAGTAGAACCAAACACACTGTCCCCCATTATCAAGGCAATCTTACAACTCATGGTTGAAAATAACAAGCCTTTGTGGATTGAATATACATACACAAGAAGTATCAACAGCTATACATAAGGCAGACAAAAAAATTAAATAATGAAACTTCAAAAGCCAGATCATTATCATGGACATGTCTGTTGTATTTAATTAATATAATAAAATATATAATTTCTGTACAGCTCTATCAGTCCTTGGGGTTAGTGTTAAAAACACACAGCGTCTGGTCTTGAAGGCCAAAGAGAAAACAGCAGTCCAGATACTATACTCTCAGAGGACCGAAAGGTCATGGCAGGACTTGGACTTCTGTCTGAAGGCCATCTTCTTGTTCTTCCGGGCCACCATACGGCCCAGGAAACGCTTGGCCTTCTTGCCGATGCTCTCGCGTCGTTTGCAGTTGGCCATACGGCGAGCGTTCTCCTCCTTGCTGTCTTTGCGAAGGCGGATCTGCCGGACGATGCCCTCGAACAGGTCCCTGACATTGTGGTGGAGATTGGCTGAGGTCTCGATGAACTTGCAGTCAAACACCACAGCGCAGGCGCTGCCCTCTGCCAAAAAAAGGAGGGGAGGCGCAGGTGAGAATCTATAGTGTTCCATGGGGACAGTGACTTCACCCTCATCATTATGCCTTTGCATAACACCTTTATACTAGCTTTAACTATAGCAGTAATTCTAAAATAAGTAGCACTAGGCAAAGATCACTGTCACTTACCATCCACAGAGACTTCTCTGGACCGCACCAGATCGCTCTTATTTCCAACAAGGATGATGGGAATGTTCTCAGTCTGGCGAGCTCTGCGTAGCTGGATGCGTAGCTCTGACGCCTTCTCAAAGCTGGACTTGTCTGTCACTGAGTAGACGATAATGTAGGCGTCACCTATCCTCATGCACTGTTCCTTCAGCCACTGACTGTTATCCTGAAGGCGAAGAGAAATATAATTACATTAGTTACATTGCTTATCTAATCAAAAGCTACAGGTGCTCAAATTAAAGTTATTATAGTGATATATGATATTATACATCAGCATTAGAGCACTACGCAGTACATCAAATGATATGCTATGACTAAGACCAATTTTACTGAGGGTCAAACTGAAATTGCATCATTTGCATTATATGCCTCACCTGTTCCCAAATGTCGTACAACAAGATGGACGCCTCCTCCTCGTCCACCTCGAACGATCTGTCATATGTGTTTCCTGAAACAAAAGCAAGCAGACAGATAAATACTCCTGGCCACAATGTTATAAACCCACTAACTGGGTAAAGTGTGAGGTCTCACTCACTATTGCCCATTTCTATTTCCCATTTCATGATGCCTTTAGTACAGCTTATTAACTCTCAATTAACCTATATCTGTGATGGGTATTACAGTGCATTACTGTCTCCTTCCCTCAGTCAATGATTTTCATATCTCCCATCCACTATCTCTGTGGCTGTATATGTCAACAGCAGTACTTTGATATGTGTGACGCCTTACTGACTGGATGGAAATAAGCAATAATCAATGTTCTTCAGCCTGTGTGCCAAGATTATATGGAAACCAAATCCTATATTTACTTAGTTTGGAGCCTATGTGCATTAGCTTTAATGGGGTGCTGAGAACAGCCACAGTCAAACAGTTATTTTCTTTGTTTTGATAACGTATTTCATTGTAGTGTATTTTCAATGCCATATAAACTTCAACACCATCATCATCAGTAATGGTCATCAGACACTCACCTGTCTCGTCGCAGTCGTGACCATCCTCGACTCCACCGAAAATACGTGCCAGGCTAGACTTTCCGACACCCTGCTCGCCGAGGAGAACCACCTTGTACACCTGTCCCCCGGAGTCGCTGCCGGAGGAGATAACGGAATCGGACGAGTCCGATACACAGCTGTCTCGGTAAGGCTCCCCGGGGGTGTAGGACGTGCAGCGCATGAGGTTGGACAGCTCTCCAGTTTGCGCCTTGCGCATCTCGCGGTCATCCACCGGCATGCTTCTTCTGTGCAGGTTCTGCAGGTGCATGGGAAACGGCATGCTCCCTCTCCTTTTGTCCATGTTCCGCAATTTGTCACCTTTATTCAAAGTCATTACTTTTTTGTCTGTGAAATAGATGCGCTCTTTAGTAAGATTCTGCTGTTAACATGAAAAGCAGCCAACTCTGACAAAGAATGCATTTCTCATTACTTTTTTTATCCTTTATTAGGCCTCAACTTATATGAACTTTTGTGTATTTATTATTTGAACAAATACATTTAAGACAATAATGTGCTTGTATCCTATAATATTAATTAAGATTTGATTGAGCATTGAGCAATGTTAAAATTGAAGTTGAACTAAAATGATTTGAAATTGCCATAGCCTAATTAATGTATTATCACGACTGCAAAATCATTCAATTCCATAAACAAACTTACATTTGATGTGCGTCTGAGGTATTCCAAAATACTGAACCAGGCAATCCACTTTTCGTTAGCGTCGTTACTCAATGAAGGGAAGTTTCGGTTTGATCCGTGAACAGAACGGATCCCCATATTTATCTAGTAGCCGAGCGAGTGACGTCACCATGAGGCAGGGTTTGCCTCTGATAGTCACGTCTCTTCTTATTATAGTAGTAGTACGTAACATCATGCCAGGGAGGGAGGAGAGGGAGTGAGGACCGCTCCACAGAGACGTGATTGAAAATGATGCGCGGGCGGGCTAAGGGATTCTCCCGTCCTGCAATGCAATGCCATGATGCCACTGATGTAATTATTTTGCCGAGTAATTCGCCCATTTACTCTCAATAAGTTATAGCCTACCTGCGTTGAAGGGGTAGGCTAACTAGCATAGTTTTAACAACAGTTGGCCCATAGCCATGGAGAGTTGGCCTGACACGGTTTCCATGCTTTGTGATGGCGCCCGCTACAATTCATCTGGACAGGTGAGGTGTTCCCAGCCATTCGCAAGGCTTACCATATTCAATCAATTCTTTTAAATAACACGATGTGTTTGTAATTGATAAGTTATCAACTACAAATTGTCAGAGGATTAGCCAAGATCAACTGAGACATCAAGCATTTCCAGTAGATGCTTCTCAGCTTTTCCGCCCATAGGTCGCGTAGCCTTGGTGACACAGCTGTTCACCACAGAAATACGACACATTATTTCTTAAACCGACGCCTAGACGTATCACTGGGGCCACAGGTATCCCACATGACACAGGAAAGAAAGACCATGAAATAAATCCATTGCGATCCAAATTAATGATGATTTCACCTGCATGAGTCTCATTGAGGTTAGTAAACCTAGTCTGTAGTCGCCATCTGATGGTGGTTATGTGAAATGCACAATGTTATAGTAGGCTGCTGGGACGGCAAGTTCTGTTTGTCTTTTACCATTCTGCTTCCTGAGAAGAAGAGAAGACCAGTGACAAAGGAATAATTACTAGCCTACTTCATTCCTCATGATTGGAGACAATGCTCAATGCATAAAGTCATTGGGTGGTGTATTGGTGGACAGACTAACGTTAAACGCCTTCTCAAGTGGCAATAACTGTAACACAGTTCCCAAAGGTTTTCAGTTGAATAGCACAATGTTTCCAAAAACATGTTTTGGTCAGATCTTTTCATCAATTGATGTTTTTCTCTGTTGCCATTTTTTTTTTTTTGGTGCTCTATGAAACGTGTTTGACTCACTGGGTTTCTCTGACTCAGCTTTAGCCTGTACTTTTTAACGGGTCATACAGTGTCATATTTACAGTACTGAAACAGTTATTTACAGGAAGAGAAGAACAGGCCTTCCTCCCCCAGGGTTGGATAAGCTTCTCTGGTTCCCCATCAGTGGGAGAATCAACATGACTTGTCTCTTTAACAAGGAAAGTGACCTTGCATAGGGCTCTTTAATTATCAATCCCACTCTATGCATGTGTTCAGTAAATGTTTTTATCTTCTGTCTCCATTACACACATACACATGCAGAACAGTGTGGAGGTGGAGATGTTCATTCTTATAAGCAAAGTCCACATTAAACTACCAGCTGTTTTGTCCTCAGTGACTCACTAGTTATATTGGGTTGCTCCTGCTGTTTCATTAGCATAACATTTTTAACATTGAACAATAGGTCAGTCAGTGTTTATGTAGCCTACTGAAGCCTGCTGAGTGGTCTGAGTGGTGTTCACTGATTGTGGGCTATATAAGTATGAACACCTCAGCATGAGAACCCAGGGTGTAGGCTGTTGTTATTTACAGAAAGACATTTGAATATTTCCGTTAGGTTCCCTACTCTGTGAAGTGTGCATGTGCATTACCCACTAAACAATGCAATTTTTACAACTTTGGCAAAGGGTAAAGTCTACAAAACTTAGTCCACTCTGTTTGGGACAGATTCTAGTTTTGGGAACAGAAAACTGTATTGAGATCAAATATTTCATAGATGAGAACATTTGCAGAATCTCGCCCAAAATCCATCTCGTAAGTCTTCTCCCACTGCTGGCCACTGGGCTTCCTCTCACTACCATATTTAGTAGCGAGTGGAAACGCCCAGCGGATTCTTCACTTTTATACATCCGGTGAAATATCTGTCTATCTGCGTTACCAACTGTGGATATTGCTCGTGTGCCTGCCGCTAACTCTAGCAGGTTGCGCGTGCATGTCGCACGTGGCTGGCTAGTCGAACGCTGAACTCTTCATTGAAACAATGCTGAAACGTCAAACAAAGTGCAAGTCAGTGGTACATTTTCATTTGTGCCGAAATCGAAATGAAAGAAAATTCAGCAGGCTATCGTGTGAAATAGACTTTTAGAAGTGCCGTCTTTATTTTATTACTTTGGTGTGGTTATCAATTCACGAGCACCTTTTTTCCCACTCCTATGATAAAAATAATTGTATAAAGTCCTACAAAAGTTTTACTGTGCGTGAAGTTTCAAATGCATTTGTCATTACTAAATGTGTAATGTGATCGGTATATTAACATTACTATTTTTTAACACACAAAAACACGTTATTAATCAAGTATTTAATCAGTTGTCTTCCTTAAATGAAGCAGATGATGACAATCTTTGCGAGAGGGCGGGAATCTGATTTAATTGGTCCTCAACTCGCGGATCAGACTCTTCATTCATGATAAATGTAGTTAGCCCTGAGTTAGCCTGCCCCGGAGCAGGTTAGATCTGAAGATTTCGTTAACATTGAAATGTACCTGGCTAAAAGGCGAGACACTTTATTGGTAGCAGTTATCCCAAGTTGAACTCAGAGTTAACCAAAGTTACCTCGCTAACTCCTCAAACAACATTCGTAGTATAAGGCTCTGCAGCCTGGCTCTGGCATTTTCAGGTATTTACTTTAAAAAAGAAATGGTAAAATGGTAATGACACAATAATAACCTATGTCACAAGGAATAGTCTTATGTACTTAAATGTCCAATAGGGAATAAAGAGGAGTAAGTAAGTAGTCGTGCAAGGAATAGTCAGCTCCACTGAGGCATACTGTATATAAGAAATCTTCATGTTGCTTTTGTACAATACTACTCAACCAATGCTGCTCAGATAGGGTACCCCTATCATCTCCAACGCAACAAGGAGACTACTTCAGAACAGACAGATTGTATCTACAGGAGTCTGTAACGACTCTCTTGCCCCCAATCTGAGACACCACATGTTAGCTGGAAATGCATTGGCAATGGTAACTTTTAAATTCAACACCTTAACCCAGGGGTGTCAAACGTCCGGCCCGCGGGCCGGATCAGGCCCGCAAACGGGTTTAATCCGGCCCGCGAGATGATTTTGTAAAGTATAAAAATGCGCTGCAATTTTTCAATAAAATAAACTGCTGTTCCAATTGCGTCCACTGGATGGCGCAATATCAATTGTGTTAAGCAAGCAAACTGTTTATACCGGGGCAGAGCAAGTACGTCAAGCACGTGCAGCCAGTCCGGATGAGCTACTTTGTTTTGCCCGCGATATTTATTACGGCTTCTACTTTTAACATTATGTGCTTTGGCACCCTCATTGCCCCAATATGTCTCTGTCAAAAAAGAGAAAAGTGGACGCAGAGTGCAGAGTGTTCCAAGAAAAATGGTCATCCTCCTATTTATTCACGGAATTCAATGGGAAAGCTGTATGTTTGGTGTGTTCACAGCATGTTGCAGTGCTGAAAGAATATAACCTTCGTCGCCACTATGTGAGTCTTCATGCCGACAAATATGACAACTTTCAAGAACAGCGGAGAAGAGAGAAGGTGAATGAACTGTTGGCGGGTCTGAAGAAACAGCAGTCTGTGTTTACTCACAGCCGAGACATCAGTGACGCTGCAGTGAAAGCTAGCTAACTCATTGCTAATGAAATCGTAGTGGCTTCAAAACCATTTAGTGAGGGTGAATTTGTAAAAACATGCATGATGAAGGCAGCGGAGTTTGTGTGCCCTGAAAAGCGTCAGGCTTTTGTAAATATCAGCCTGACAAGAAACATAGTTGCAGACAGGATTTACGATCTTTCAGTGGATTTGGACAGCCAGTTGAAGCAAAAAGTAAAGTCATTTATAGCGTTTTCGGTTGCAATTGATGAAAGCACGGACATTACAGATGTTGCACAACTGGCCATTTTCATCCACGGAGTTGATGACACATTGACCGTCACCGAGGAGTTCGTGGAGTTGGTGCCGATGACAGATACAACGACAGCAGCTGATATTTTCACCGCACTCGTCGACGCGCTGGACAGGGTCGGAGTGGACTGGTCCCGCGCTGTCAGCCTGGCTACAGATGGTGCGCTCTTAATGATCGGGAAAAAAGCAGGCGTTGTGACAAAGTTCAGAGAGAAAGTGCAATCTGCAAATGGAGGACGTGATTTTTTGACTTTTCACTATTTTGCACCAGGAGGCTTTGTGTTGCAAGTCATTAAAGATGGATAACGTCATGAAGGTGGTCATCCAAACTGTTAATTTCATCCGATCCAGAAGCCTGAATCACCGTCAGTTTGACAGCCTTCTCAGAGAGAAAGACCACATCTAAGGCCTGCCATACCACACTGAGGTAAGATGGTTAAGCCGAGGTGCTGTGCTGAGGCGTTTCTTTGATTTACGAGAAGAAATTGAACAGTTCATGGAAGAAAAGGAGTGTTAGAATTTCATTCCGCAGAATGGATGCAGGACCTTGCATTTATGGTGGATGTTACAGAGCACCAGAATAACTTGAACAAACAGCTGCAAGGGCGCAACAAAGTTGTCACGCAGTATTATGACAGCATACGTTCTTTCAAGTTGAAGCTGTCATTGTGGGAGACGCAACTCGCCGGTGGTGATGCAGCTCACTTCCCCTGCCTGAAAAATGTGTGCGCGACCCAACATGTGGCAGACATGAAGCGGTTCAAAGATAAAAAAACGGGACTGTTACGGGAGTTTGAGCAACGCTTTCAGATTTTTTGTGAACTGGAGAAAGACTTCAAAGTTTTTTGCTCGCCATTCACCGTGAATCCCTCTGATCTGCCCGTCAGCATCCAACTTGAAATAATAGACTTGCAGTGT